TCTGCCATTGCGTCGGAGCTGTACGTGCGCGCACTCCCGCTCAGCACGTAGGTGGTGACCACTGGCTCACTCACTCCAAAGACGGCTCCATAATACATTATTACCAAAGCTGGGGTCACACTACATTTTAACGTTTATTTGTAAAGTTGACGAGTTGATCAATTTTTCAACGATCTATCAACCTTTCTGTGGGATGTTCAGCGCATTTGCATATTCAACTTCAGGGGCGGAGCCATGATTTTTGAAAGGAATAAAGGGCACCTTTTCCTGCTTCATTTTTCTGGTGTTTTGAAAAAGCTGCCGAAGGCCACTTAGGGGGTCGGGGTTAGGGGACCTCCCCCAAGGATTTTTAAACATTGGTGCATTCTGAGAGCATCCGAGCAGTAATTTTGACCCCTCTTTGCCCATTTCTAAATTTTTATAACGAATTTATATAGTATATTATATGTACTGTATATAAGAAAATCTTTATCAGAAAAACTAGCCCTAAAAAATTTCGGATGAAAATAAGGGCACTTTGAAATTAAAGGGCGGTCCGGACCCCCCCATCTCTCCCATGGTGCATTGCTATTATTGTTGGTAATTGAAAATCGCTTGTTGTTGTTGATAAATAAATCGCTCGTTATTGTTGATAAATAAATAATCTCTTATAAGGACTCGTTATTATCTGACAGAGGTTTTACACCAAGTTGATAGTCGTGGCGGAGTTTACACTAGTGTGCTGTGGGTCGCATGTTGTGCAGCTGTTTACTCTCATTTAAACAAATTCTCTCTGTACATATTTGTTCAATGTGCTACTTTATTACGAGCATTGTTACCACACTGGAATTCTATACAAGTCAAAACGCAAGCAAAAAAATGTCAACAGAAATGTGATGGTTACTTTTTAAAATATTTTATTCGTATTTACAACTTACAAGTTGCTAATCACTCCGCATTTTTTTTTTACTTTTCTTTAGATTGACAATCGTCCTAAATGACCTTACACGTTTTAGTCATCAACGCGTTTGACTGTTGGTTATACATATTCACGCTTATAGACTAGATTATTTTTAAATGTTGTTACCGCAATTCTAGATGTGGTTTACTAGCACCATTTCCTGTTACCGCATTTAATATTGGCTATTACTGTATTATAACTGCGACATTGCTTCACAAACACAACTTCAAACATCACGAACGCTCCACTATGTATCAGCAAATCACTCAAACGCGCATGTTTTCATTCGATTACGCTTATTCATGATCCTCTCAATATTAATTCTCAGCAATTTTCCCTCAAGTTGGTTTACTAGCTCAATGTACTGGATCAGTTGCTACATTCTGCGCAAGTTACAGCGAAGCGATGCATTCCAATCAAAATCACACATTATATCCGTCACTTCTATTTTTCTTTTCTTTTCACTCCAAACCATTTTCAGATTGCTTTTTACCGCTCACAATCACAGATCAGGTAATCCGCTCACAATCACACACGTGACACACAGTCGCGCACATTCCGCAATTTTGTTTACGTATCATTAGATTATGCCTATTCCGGCTGCTCAATATTACAGAGCTCGCAAGTCCTATCTTTTATCAGATCGAATAGCTACATTCTGCGCGAGTTACAGCGGCAAGGATTCACGCGATGCACCACAATCAAAGCACCACTCAAACTGCAAACCGCACACCTTATCATTCATTTCATTACAGCGGCCAGGCTTCGCGATACACCACAGCACCAATCAAGCTGCAAACCGCACACCTTATCATTCATTTCTCTACAGCGGCAAGGCTTCGCGATGCACCACAATAAAATCACACATTCTATCAGTCACTTCTATTTTCAGATGCTTTTTCCCCGCTCACAATCGCACATCGAGTCACGTACATTCCGCATTTTTTTTTGTTTCATTAGATTATGCCTATTCCGGCTGCTAAATATTACTGAGCTCGCAAGTCCTATCTTTAATCGGATTGAATAGCTACATTCTGCGCGAGTTACAGCGGCAAGGATTCACGATAAAAAACCATACATTCTATCCTTCACTTTTTCCCTGCTCTTTTCCCACCACTATTTTTCCTGCTCACAATCACACAAATCTTGTTTTGAACTCGTTATACATCAATTATAAACACGACCTAATTAATTGTGCCAGGGAAATGCTGCGAGCCGGACACCCCAACCCTAACTCCCACTTGATTGCACTTTTGAAATTTGGGAGGGGGGAGGTGTGATTTCCCATGCTCTGACCAGCCAAGGTGTTGTCTCACCCCCCTGGCACATGCTAACAAAAACTGCTCTGCACCTTTCACATGTTGCAACAAATAAACCTTTGCAAGCACTCCCCACTACACTCTTCCACTGTCTTCTCCTCCTCCTCTTCTGGCTGCTTCCCTCTGCAGATTCCGAATAAATATTGCGAGACTTCATACTTCTTAGAATAGCCACTTTTTACACATGGTCACAATCGCATGGAACACTGTCATAATCACACCACAACAACCACACTTCTGAGACCACTCTTCCCTCTACACTCTTCCACTGCTATCTCCTCTCATCTTCTGGTTTCTTCTCGCTGCTATCACGACTCTGAATAATCTTCAGACTTTACATTCACGTCACTTCACTTCCTTCACTTGCAAGTCCGAGAATTCATACCTCTTCTTTACACATGGTCGAATACTTGGCACAATACCATGGAATAATGTCAATTATGAATAGCTGCTTTGTATGGTATTACTCCCTGATGTCATAATGGCAGACTCTGTACATTTTCCCCACAGGATCTAATATATAGGCAAGCTATGTGGGCTGATACGTTTTCATCTTTTTATGCAGGACACTTGACCAAAAGTTTTTTGCCTGATGTCACCACCCTTTCACACTGATGGCCTCCCTATGGCTGGCTGGCTCCTATCACTTCCCAATTCCCTCTGATGAGCCTGTAGGACCCTTGGGATGCTCCTGCTGGTTCCCATGCGACCCTCGAATGACGACCCTTGAAAGTAATTCCTATCACTGGCTGGCTTTCAGGCTTGCTCCTAATGCCCAATTCCTGTTGATGGACCTGTATGACCCTTGATGTTCGCGCCGATTCCCCTGTGACCCTCCATGTATTGCACCTCTTCCCATGGCTGGCTGGAACGTTGGCTGGCTTCTACTTCTCCCCGATCCCCTTTGGTTGGACCTTTAGGACCCTCTGATGTTTGCTCGCACGAGTGGGCACCACCCTTCTGCTTGAGGCCACTACTGGCTTTGGATCACACTACTGGCAGCAACATCCTAAAAGCTTAGCGACGAGGACAGCAATTTCCAAGACCACCAAAGACCTGTAACAAACCCTCTCGCCCACCCACAATGGTTATGGAATGCATCTCTATTACTTACAGACGATGATACGGAAGACATTAACAGTTGTGTACGTAAAATTTGATAGGAAGGTAAAAACAATACCAATAATCATCTTCAAAGTTTGGTAACAACGGTTAAAACAAACACACACGCTGATTAATGGCTACATGTTGGCTCACGCATGGCAGGTACGCTGGCTTGTGTCCCCAAGATCACAGCTGGTGGCTGACAGGATGTGGACCCAAACATGTAGACTGCAAGGATGGTAATACCAAGGTGTGCCCGACACGTCGGTTGGTGGCCGAGGACGCGTGACGCCGGCTGATGGCTGAGGACCCGAGATGTCGGCTGATGGCTGAGGACGCGTGACGCCGGCTGATGGCTGAGGACGCGTGACGGCGGCTGATGGCTGAGGACGCGTGACGCCGGCTGATGGCTGAGGACCCGAGATGTCGGCTGATGGCTGAGGACGCGTGACGCCGGCTGAGGACGCGTGACACCGGCTGATGGCTGAGGACGCAAGATGTCGGCTGATGGCTGAGGACGCGTGACGCCGGCTGGTGGCTGTGGACCAGAGACGTCGGCTGGTGGCTGAGGACCCGAGACGTCGGCTGATGGCTGAGGAGTGGACGTTTTAAGAAGAGTGCTACACAAGCGTGTATATATGGCTATGGTTGATAGAATGTCAGGTGAGAGTATTTATGTTTTTGGGTTTGTCTTTTGCGCCTTAATGCACTTGCATTTGTAATGTGGCTTGCAATGTGTTCTTTGGAGGTTTTGCGTACATGCAACTTGGTTGGTTAACAACAAATTGACAGTAAACCCTAATACAAACTACTACTACTACAAGAAACCTAAGTACTGGTAATGGTAAACGATGTCGTTTTGGTTGGCGTGTGGTGCGTGGGGTAGTGTTTTCTTGTGTTTGAGCAGGTATTACAAACTCCGCTGGGCGCTGCTGCCGTTTCTCCTGTCTTGCAATAACACTGGGATGCACCTGACTGATTTGGCTGCAATGAGAACATGTCGATTTAAAGCGCAGGAAGACTACTAAATGACGTAACAACCCTGTATGGGCAAACTGCTGCAGTTTTGAGGTTTGGTTATAAGTGTTTTCTGCTTACAAGTACTGCACGTACTTCAACAACTGATAATGGTTAACCAACTGTAAGTGTGTGGGATCTGATCTGCGTAAGAAGTGCTGCTTTAGTGTGTGGGGGATGTGTGTAGTTCTTTATTTATAGGCGCTATGGTGTCAATTGCTTATTGGATGGAAGTGTCTAGCAAGTGATATTTATGCAACATGCCGTATCCAACACAACGTCGCGCATTTCCTTCCTGTCATGGGACGAGCTGGCTGCACCTGTCTCCTCATGTCGTCGCATCTTCTCTGCAATCGAAAAAGTCTACCGGGGGCCTCCACTATGGAAAGGTGGTAGTTTATTTGCAGGCTGCAGATCTGTCCGTGGGAATGACGAATATGCGACGGCTGTCCTACCCTGTCCTGCAAACCACTAGGTCTACACTACATCCAGCCTCCATCAGCCCACCAGAACCATCAGAACTGCCATCAGCCGACGTCTCGGGTCCTCAGCCATCAGCCGACGTCTCGGGTCCTCAGCCATCAGCCGACATCTTGCGTCCTCAGCCATCAGCCGGCGTCTCGGGCAGTCTATACCGTCCAAATCCCACTGCACTTACAAGTGCTGAAACACGCAAACCACGCACCCCCAACAAACAACACTAGTTCCCAAACGCAGCAATCGCGCACCAATTGTTCTGATCTAACATTACGTTCACTGTTATTAAACGATGGTAAGCAGTAACAGAATTTTCAGCCGTACAAACAATTCCATGCAACTTACACCACTTTCTCTGATATCACTCCAGCACAAGCAGCCTGACACTTCACACTTCCATCCAATAGGCAATTGACACCCCAGCTCCTATAAATGAAGAACTACACACATACCCAACACACACTAAAGCAGCACACTTTTTTACGCAGATCAGATCCCACACACTTAGTTGGTTAACCATTATCAGTTGTTGAAGTACGTGCAGTACTTGTGAGCAGAAAACACTTATAACCAAACCTCAAGAATGCAGCAGTTTACCCTTACAGGGTTGTTACGTCATTTAGTAGTCTTCCTGCGCTTTAAATCGACATGTTCTCATTGCAGCCAAATCAGTCAGGTGCATCCCAGTGTTATTGCAAGACAGGAGAAACGGCAGTAGCGCCCAGCGGAGTTTGTAATACCTGCTCAAACAAGAAAACACTACCCCACGCACCACCCGCCAACCAAAACGACATCGTTTACCATTACCAGTACTTAGGTTTCTTGTAGTAGTAGTAGTAGTTTGTATTAGGGTTTACTGTCAATTTGTTGTTAGCCAACCAAGTTGCATGTAGGCAAAACCTCCAAAGAACACATTGCAAGCCACATTACAAATGCAAGTGCATTAAGACGCAAAAGACAAACCCAAAAACCTAAATACTCTCACCTGACATTCTATCAACCATAGCCATATATACACGCTTGTGTAGCACTCTTCTTAAAACGTCCACCAGTCTATACCGTCCAAATCCCACTGCACTTACAAGTGCTGAAACACGCAACCCACGCAACCCCAACAAACAACACTAGTTCCCAAACGCAGCAATCGCGCACCAATTGTTCTGATCTAACATTACGTTCACTGTTATTAAACGATGGTAAGCAGTAACAGAATTTTCAGCCGTACAAACAATTCCATGCAACTTACACCACCTTCTCTGATATCACTCCAGCACAAGCAGCCCGACACTTCACACTTCCATCCAATAGGCAATTGACACCACAGCTCCTATAAATGAAGAACTACACACATCCCCCACACACTAAAGCAGCACACTTTTTACGCAGATCAGATCCCACACACTTACAGTTGGTTAACCATTATCAGTTGTTGAAGTACGTGCAGTACTTGTAAGCAGAAAACACTTATAACCAAACCTCAAGAATGCAGCAGTTTGCCCATACAGGGTTGTTACGTCATTTAGTAGTCTTCCTGCGCTTTAAATCGACAGGTTCTCATTGCAGCCAAATCAGTCAGGTGCATCCCAGTGTTATTGCAAGACAGGAGAAACGGCAGTAGCGCCCAGCGGAGTTTGTAATACCTGCTCAAACAAGAAAACACTACCCCACGCACCACCCGCCAACCAAAACGACATCGTTTACCATTACCAGTACTTAGGTTTCTTATTTATTAAGCGAGTTTAGTTTGTATTAGGGTTTACTGTCAATTTGTTGTTAGACAACCAAGTTGCATGTATGCAAAACCTCCAAAGAACACATTGCAAGCCACATTACAAATGCAAGTGCATTAAGATGCAAAAGACAAACCCAAAAACCTAAATACTCTCACCTGACATTCTATCAACCATAGCCGTATATACACGTTTGTGTAGCACTCTTCTTAAAACGTCCACCAGTCTATACCGTCCAAATCCCACTGCACTTACAAGTGCTGAAACACGCAAACCACGCACCCCCAACAAACAACACTAGTTCCCAAACGCAGCAATCGCGCACCAATTGTTCTGATCTAACATTACGTCAACTATTATTAAACGATGGTAAGCAGTAACAGAATTTTCAGCCGTACAAACAATTCCATGCAACTTACACCACCTCTGATATCACTCCAGCACAAGCAGCCTGACACTTCAACAGGCGCCGTTCCCAACAACACGCAAGCAGCTGCACCACACATGCCAACCCCAGTGTCCAATCAACAAATCGCATTTCACTACTATTGAAACGTAACTATTCTTAGTAAATCACTTTTTAAACAAACCTTACGCACTCACGGTAAATGCTCCCATTGTGTAGTAAAAGGATGTTATCACTTGCGCACATCCACTCGCATTGCGCGTTAGCAAGGCTGCAAAAATATAAACTACTCCCATTTTTCATTTCACCCCCCCACAGTTGCCATTTTTTCTGTCATTGTAGATTTAAACTATCAATTTCTCTTCAATAGATATTCTCTCCAAATTCACTGCTCAGAAAAATCACCTCCACACTGACACTTCCAATTTTCATCTTAAAGACGTGCAGTCGATCTCCTCTCCTTGATCACACACCAAAGAATTTGTAATAAACGATGCTGACCGGGAAGATGGATGCTGAACCTTTGTAAATAGGAGACTCCCACGTGGCCCGAGGTTTGGATGTTGGCTTAGTAGAACACGGATGCTGGCCGATGGTTGAACATGGATCTCACCGGTTGATCGGATGAGGGCACACATCTTTGTCAGATAGCACACGGAACCGCAAGATGTTGGCAGATCATCACAGGTAAAGGAAAGGGTTGCTCCAACCGGGAGTGGTGGTGCTTGGCATGTTGCATGTTTAACGTTGATGGATAGATGACAGACCACAGGCCGCTGGTAGCGCCGATGAATGGGGAAGGATTGTCGCCGCATATTCGTGTTTCCATGGCCACTAACAGGTTCTGCAGCCTGCAAATAGACTACCTGCACCTTTCCAACGGCACACAGGCCCTCTAGTAGACTTGCCGATTGCAGAGCCGACTGACCAATCACGGAGGTTGGAAGACGCGACGACATAGGAAAAACCAGGTCAACGTGCAGTCAACAAACTCCTCTCCTCTCAACAGATGAAGGAAATGATGCCGCGATGACGAGTCGCACACATTCAAAGGAACACTGTCAGCGAGACGGGATGCGGATATGCACATTCACTTGCTAGGGAGTTATCACATCCATCCATCTGGGAAGTCCAACAGGTGACACCACAATTCCTAGAAATGAATAACCAGGTTCCTCCCCCACCCCCAACATAGGACAATTTTATCACATTCATGGAACTTTCTAGCTCATACCACACAATATACGCCAATCTATGCACACACTACTACTTGCATTGATCACTTACTTCACCTTTTTAATGCGCTATAGCAAACCATGACAAAATTTAAATGCCACCAAGCCACAATGTTTTCAATGTACATGCAACTTACACACATTTCCTGCTAACATCTCTCTTCTCCTACTCGACAGCCTGGTAAACTTCACAACATCAACACTACTGCAAAACAAAATTTCTCCCACACACAACCCACATTCAACAGTCATCCCTTCGTACGACACCCAACAACACCGCTTTCAAGTTTAGATATCTTTGACACTACGTACCAACCAACCAACATGCAGTCACGAACGATCCCTAGCAACAATCACGACCTCCTCTTTACATCTGGGATGTCCACTACACTCATTCAAAATGCACAATCCTACTGCTGCAAAAGCAAACCACCAACTCCACACGCACTACTTCCAGCATAACGGGCAACACACAAAAAAAACTTCGCTGCGATCAGGTCACATATAGATTTTATATGGTATCACACGCATTTAATACTGTGCATTTACAATGCATACAAATTACAACCCCATAGGATCACGTTATTTATGTCACATAGTGACTACAGACAAACTTGTGGGTTTTTAATACATCTACATACTGCAGTAATTAGGCATGCATTGTGAGAAGACAAAACAAGATGTGCTTAATGGTATAAAGGAATTGCAGAGCCGTAGATAGTAGCTAAATCATGGGTTTTGGACACGACAGGAACTAGAACAAAATTAACCATAGCGCTAACACAGAAGTACACATAGATTAACAAAGCATACTACTGCACACCCATTAACGTGTTAAAAGCTACCATGAATTTCACAAATCGCAAATGAAGAAGATTTATAGTGGATAAAAGGACATGCTAGAAAGAGCAGTGTATTCCAACAAATTGCAGGCATGTTAAAGATGTTGCAGTTTGCAACAGTTGGGGCCAAGTATTGAAAGTATGGTCTAGTTTGACATACATTTCTCTTAACAATACAATGTATCGACTTACTTAGTACAGACTATCTCACACGACAGCAGACCAAAATACTTTTTCGTCATTTCACTCACTGCATAGTGTACACCTTTCTTTCACTGTTATAATTTATAGTCGAAGCCCTTTTCCAAGAGGACGTGGGCGACCCTTTGCGCACCTGTAACATCAACTTCCGCTTCCACGCACATATGTACACACGCACGCGCACGCGCACGCACACACACACTATCAACAATCGCCTTCTAAACCACCAAAAATTCCAACGAAGTAGTTTAAATGCAAGGACATCAAAAATAACACGACCTGCCTTTGCGAGGCCAACTGCCATCTTGACCAGTGGAGTGCTGACACCAACGAATTGTGACAGATTCCCAATACTTCCTGTTTGGAAAAAATAAAACTCCCCATTGCACCCACCACCTTCCCACATGCCCGCATATGTACAGAGCTTGATGCAATTTTGATGCAAAACGTTTACGAAGTTACGATGTTCACCATCATCAAATCACGTGCATGAGATCACATCAACTGGAAACACCATCAATTTGCGCTGTTTGCAATATTATTGGTTAAATGGAGAAAACACCAAGTAATCTTTGGCTTACTAAATTTGATGCACCATTTTTCACACATCTTGCCAGACAGGGCACGGGTTCACACCATTTCCCACGTCTCTCATTAAACACGCAGTAGTTTCGTCTTCCATTTCTGAAACTAGACAAAATACCCACCCTGCCCCAAAACCACTACACCATCAGAATTAACAACCATTACAAATTACCCCATTTTCAAGATTCCATTCGTGTCAAACCACCAAACAATGCATGACAATCAATACTTGTTTAAAGCTTGCCTTACGAGCCTCGTTCCCGTGGTTGCTCTGCGTCTACGCGATTGCATAACTCTCATTCTGCGATGTTTGTGATAGGCTGCAGAACTTTGCGTTAGCCGACATACCTGTCCACCTGAAATACTTGGGAAACACTCGCACCCCCCAATATCCTTCGACCACACGTCAGCAAGATTACAGATTCAGTATAACCACATTTGCCTTCGTTTGTGCTTTCATTCGCGCAATTGTGCATTCGTATGTTCATGTCGCAATTTTCCCTATCCCACAACTCAAGCACCTAATATATATGCAATATGTAAACATCGAATAAGAATGAAGTTCACCATGTTTGTGATTGTCCAAAGATTTCTTTACGCCGATGTAGTTATCCAACTGGTGATTCGCGGATTTCCGTCGCAAACTGCTATGTCATTCGAAATGTGTTGTTCAAAGCATCAGAATGTATGTACGTAAATGAAGTGAAACCCGTCGTAGCAGACAACCATCAATAAGCAGCTTCTTCCATCCACTTGTACGTTCTGCAAATGCACAAAGAAAACTACCACGCCCAACCCCCATCTGCCCCCACCATAGTAGACATTCCATAGTATTAGTAAATTAGTGTTTCATGGTAAACAAGTGTAAGTGTTTGCTATATGTGCTCACAGTAATTGGTGAATGCAATCCATTTCAACTTTCACATCGTCACCCACAGCACAGAGAAGCAACACCCAACATCCAAGCAGGCAGACTATTCACTTGCACCTCGCCCTATATCAAAATCTTCAAACGCACTGGTACCACTCACACATACTCATTTCAGTCATACACCAGTTACGATTACCAGCCTATTTAGACTTCATCAATGCCAAACCATTAAGTGCGATTTTGATATTCAACCAGGGGAGACATCCTGCTTTTCTGCTTAGTCTTGCTTTCATCGCCCAGCACGCCGGCACGACCTCAAGCTGCACCAAAGTTCCTTATGTTCTATGTCATTGTTCAGTCATCAATACATCGTCATCAGTTCATCTGTAAGAAGAATAGAAACCCACCCCAACCAACAACCGAAAAACTCCTCTCACATTCAAATAGCTGCTAGGTTTCAAATGCCAAACGACACCACAGGGTTTATTCCAAATACTGTCAACAGACTACTAGTACTAGACCACGATGGACGGAACAATTTCCTAACCAACCGGGTGGCTCAAAATTCATCCTGCCAGTGATTAACGAGTTGGCGTAACCCAGGTCTGCTCCAATGAGCGTTCCTTGAAGCAGCTACAAGAAAAAAGCCACACATTAGACACCCCCTCCCCCACCCAAAACACTCGCAAAAAAACTCTCCCAGAACACATTCATACTCTTACAAAACCACATATTTACAGTTTTAATATCCACATACTTCCATTTGCCTTATTTACAATACTACCTTCACTTTCCACTATGAAAGACATTCCTGAGTTTTATACATCGAAATACATCACTTGAAAGGTTTTACGAGACGCCAGGATTATTGTGAAGCAACAATGGGGTGAACCCATGTGAAGCGGCAGCCTGGGTTTGATTGCCATCTTGCTCGAAATACATATCTGGAAAAAGAGAAATATTCCATAAATAGTACATGATTAATAATTACTGCAAATAAACATGTATGCATCATGTTTCTTGGGACTTTACATTTCTAAAGAACTGATCAAGTCCAAAGATGTCTTCAACAGTATCACTGCATCCATGGGAAGGCACGTTTTGATTAATATCACACTTTGTTGAGGTCCCTGGTTGGCCGAGCTCTAATGGCGAGGTAAGATGGCAGCCATTTTGATTTGCCCATGCACTCTCATCCTTGGACAAAGGGAATGCAAGTTCTGAGTCTTCCCAGCCACTGTCCTGCGGTGGGTTGTTTTCGTGGAGCCTCTCCAAGGTCTGGCTAATCTCATCACATGCTTGCTTAACTGTAGCTTGCAATAACACCTCTCTCCGTAGATCAGCACACCTCCTACGCTTTACTACGCGTTTCTTCTTTATCGAAAGTTCAAGTAGCTTGGTGATGTCGCCGTCTTCGACAAAAGACGATAGTGGAAACTCGCTCACCTTCATATTGTTCGACAGTCGTGGCAGGTAGCAACGATGGCCGGCGGTAATAAACTGGTCCGTCCTCGGCAACGGCTGTTGGCTTGCAAGTTGCAGTAGCTGCCTTCCTTCGGTCAGATGACGCTAAAACTGCCGTGCTAACACGTGAAAATATCGTAATATATTCACCTTACAAATGTGCCTCTTCGGTCTCCAGCCTCCAGGAGCGGCTGAGTTGATGGATTCGAGGCAACCCTACAAATTGCAGTTCGACCGTAAGCAACAGTGTTTCTAACGAAAAGCTCTAACGATCAAAATCTATATTGAAGACCATGAGTACGACACGAAAACTGAACAGAAAAGCCAGATAATCAATTGAAACAATCGAAAAAGCCCTCTAACAGAAAACTCTCGCGAAATCCCTGACACAGAAACTCCTTCTTTCAAGCGGTACGCCAACCTTCGAGTGACGCCGTATGTACGCGCTGCAGCTTATATATGCTGCGGGAATCATTTTAACCGGATCACTGTGCACATACGCCAATTCTAGACAATGTAGTACCCGATGATTTTACTCAAAAATAAAAAAATTCGTAATAATATTGAAAGTTAAGACACCTATCTCTATTTCCATCGTACTTGAAAACTCTAGACTTCTATTAATTTTGGTATGAATCAATTTTGTTCAAAATCTTAGAATGAGTTTTTATTATGTGTGCGTATTAGCACGCTGCTAGGGTGTTTTTCGACGTTCGTCGGTCTACCTTGCGTAGACGCAACGTCATCGCTTGTGCTACTTTTATTACGGGTAACTATAAATACTGAAACAGCATTAATGATCGAGGTTCTGTGTACCTAGCTGTGACTATGGTCTGAGAACAGTGACAACAATGGATATCATTTGTACGGCACTGTGAACGCATAAATATACTGCCACTGTGATGGCGACCGATAACCTGAATCCGTGAGATTCGGAAGATTCGAAAATAGTCCCGTCATGAAGTGTCGAAACACTAGGTATAATACCAAGTGCAATTCTTGACAAAATTTATTATAAAAGATTAATGTTATTACAATACATAATAGATTTAGAGCAAGAACGTTTAATGAGAAGAGTGTTGTTACAGCAATTAAAATATGGGGGAAAAAATTGGGCAAATGAGATCATAGACGAAATTGAAGAATATAAATTAAATATGTCATTCTTATCTATTGGCGCATAGCTTATCAAAAATGAGATGGAAAAAGATGGTAAAAGAGGCCATTCTAAAAAAACGTGATAGAAAGGGACGAAAGGGAAGGAGCAACAAAAACAAAATTGAAAATGATTAATATTAATAATTATGGATTAAAGAATTATATGACGTCAATGTCCTATGAGGATTCTTGTTTTGTTTCGTTTTGTTTTGTTTTGTCTCGTTCGTTTTGTTTTGTTTTGTTTAGTTTCATGCAAGACATGCATGCTTCCAACCACGTGAGGAAATTACTAAAATATAGGGATTAAAGAATAAGATTAGCAGAATTAAATGCTGGAAGTACAAATTAATGAAAATGATGAGATGAAAGTTTACATTCCCAGAATATCCTCGCACCTTCACCAGAAATGATGCCTTGTGAAATACAAGAGTGGGACAATATACGATACGATACGATACGATGAAAATTGTTTACATATAGTATATACCTTTGAGTGCATATATATACCTGTTACAGGCGTGAATAAAAGCACCATTTTGTTTTTATTCACTTCTGGTTACATAATACATATATGTACGATCTTTTGTCGAAAATTAATCGGTATATGTGTAAGTAAAAACAGCCGTGTAGATATGAAAATAAATATATAAAATTAGAATAAGGCGTGAATGAAGCCTGATCTGATGACGAGAGATACTCGGCGAAAGCTCAACGGCGAAAAGCGAAAGCGAAAGCCCCCTATTCATGTCTGCTTTCATCATTCAAAACTTATATTACCTTTCATTGGATTTATCATGGTCAAGTGAAGATTATAGCATATATAGCTGCTTGTTTGACGATAGTAGCTGTAGATGTTGGGAAATATTGTGATCCCGTACGGTAGTATATAGTAGCTGCGAAACTCTGTTGGGCACACAAAATTACAAGCACGGGCGTGGCATCTTTACATAGATTCGGCAGCTATATCCGGATGCGAGGCTTTATCACTGATTAAACAACCGCTTCAGTTTACTTGTTGATGCTAATCGACCTATAGCTGCTATAGGATGGTCTGGTGCTGCTAATCAAAGTGAGAATCGAGACGCACACGCACTGTGGCCCGACCTGTATAAGTACCACCATAGAGTAAAAATATCACCATAGATAGTCTTAGTCTGTGGTACCACCAGTAGCAACTTACTCCTGGTGCCATGTATGGGCTGCGCGAAGCCGCATACCGGATTTCAGGGACTGGGTTCGTTTTGTATGTAAAGTTTCCATCACAGTAGAAACTTATATACTAAAAAAAACATTTTAAAACATTTTAAAAGCGGATAATTAACCTCAAAGTTAACAAAATACCACTAACTGTGCGCATCAGCAGAAATTGACGATCATCGCGTGCACGATTAAGAATTTAAAGTGACTTATTATGCTCCCACATTTTATACGTGAAGATTGGTTATAGTGATAAGAATGGCTGGCTAACGAACTATTTGTCATTTGCATAACAGTTTTGCAAAACGCGGCCCACTTAAATCCAGGAATGACTGCAGTCCTTTGATGAATTTGCTCTAGATTTTGTTTCCGCCTCTTATAATATTTCCACAAATTTACTGTGATCTCAGAAATAGCTCTGACAGTATAAAAAGGAACATATATATGAAAAGCGCAAATGAGCAGATCATTCCCAGGCTTGCGTCAAAAAAATAATAGATCCGACGTTCGAAAATCATTAAAAAAATAAAATACAGAAATAATGCAATTCATTTTTGCTCTCTCTCTCTCTCTCTCTCTCTCTCTCTCTCTCTCTCTCTCTCTCTCTCTCTCTTCTCATCTCTCCTCTACTCTCTCTCTCATCTCTCTCTCTCTCTCTACTCTCTCTTCTCTCTCTCTTCTCTCTCTCTCTCTCTCTCTCTCTCTCTCTCTCTCTCTCTCTCTCTCTCTCTCTCTCTCTCTCTTCTCTTCTCTCTCCTCTCTCTCTCTCTCTCTCTCTCTGCTCTCTCTCGTCTTCTCTCTCTCTTCTCTCTCTCTCCTCCTCTCTCATCTCCTCTCTCTCTCTCTGCTGCTCTCTCTCTCTCTCTCATCTCTCTCCTCTCTCTCTCCTCTCTTTCTCTCATCTCTCTCATCTCTCTCTCTCGCCTGCTTCTCTCTCTCCTCTCTCTACATCTCTCCTCTCTCTCTTCTCTCCTCTCTCTCTCTCTTCTCTCTCTCTCTCTCTCTCTCTCTCTCTCTCTCTTCTTCTTCTCTCTTCTTCTCTCTCTCTCTCCTCTCTCTCCTCTCTTTCTTCTCTCTCTCTCTCTCTCTCGTCTCTCTCTCTCTCTCTTCTCTCTCTCTCTGTATATATATATACTATTATTTATATATTATATGTGTGTGTGATGTGTGTGTGTGTGGGCGGCAGTGCGTGGATCAGCCGTGCGTGGGCGTCTCGGTGCGTTAGGTGCGTGCAGGTGCGTGCGTGCGTGGGCGGTGCGTGTGTGTGATGTGTGGTAGTGTGTGTGTGTGTGCTGGTGTTGTGGTGTGTGTGTGTGTGTGTGTGTGTCGTGTGTGTGTGATGCTTGGAGCTGGATGTGTGCGTGCATATACCTGCATTTAGGTTATGCATGCTTGTTGTATACATGTGCGGCTATTCTGCATTTTTTTCAGGAAGTAGATGATTATACATACACACATATACGACAGCGAGTATTCAGCAACAGTGCGCGTGTCTGAGTCATGATGCGTTGCGCCTAAAAACGGTGGTCGCGGGACGTCACTTCATTCCCATTCAGATGATTACCACGTCGTGATCCTAAGCTGATCTATCGGACGGATCTATGCAAACGTTTCCTGCCACGGAATTTTCTCGACGCTGTGCGAAAACTTTTGACACGTCTAAGTCATGTCTTAATCTGTCTATGTCTAAGTCTTAATAATAATGTCTAAGTCTTAATAATCATGTCTAAGTCATGACTTTTGACACGTCTTAAGTCGCATATCTATTAGTAGACCAAGCGGGGGAGGAAACATGCATGGTGCCAAAACGGTGATAAAAAAACCTCTAGTAAGGCTAAACAAAAAATATGTGTGTTTCCGGTCGAGCGACCGTCCCTAGATTATTAGGGCCGACCCAAAACTTTTTTTTACAAAAAAAAAACATTTGACAGACAAAACTTGAGATTTTTTACTACAAACACGTTCTGGACTAATTTATCCCTACCTATACACCACTTTATAGCAAAAAAAAGCCCTATTTACCTACCCTACTTTTGTTTTCGATGCACACCTATTTTTTTGTTTGGCCTAAACACTATAGCTCCAAAACAAGATCTGTAAATCGACAGTGCCCACCTGGCAGACAGTGCATGATCACCTGCTTGCCTGACTGTCTGTGCCAGTGGTTGAGCATGAAGAAGGGAGTTGGAAACCCGATCCAGTGGCGTAGCGAGGATTTTTTAACAGGGGGGGGGGGAAACAGCAAACTGCGCAAAATTGTGGATGACTTAAAAGGGTGGGTGGTTCCTCCGCCTCCATCTCCACACCCTACGTTCCCCCACTTCTCAGCTCTGCAATCTTTGTTTCATGCGCCATGCATAAAAGCGACATTTTTATTCGTTGTTCCCTGCTACCAAGATATATAAAAGGAGGGGGTGAAACAAGCGGGGGTATATGGGGGTCCTCCCCCAGAACTTTTTTAAAATGTTGATCGCAGGAGATGTGTAGTGACGTAGATATCGAATTAATTAACCTAGTATAAAAACCCAGCGACACGGGTCATTAAATGTAAGCATGCAGATCACGTCATAGGTTATTTTAGTAACAGCCAAGGTAACAAGCGAAGGACGCCACCCAGCCATCCCGAGAAACTGAGTCACTAGAACACGAGTAAAAGTTACGACCCGCTCAAGGTGACGACTGCTACGAGTCTTATGACAAGCCGCGAACGCCGGGCGTGCGTGACACAGCGGGACCTCTAACACCGGTGTCGCACAACCTAGGACTCTAGCACAACCCAACCAGGGTCAAATCTGTGCCATACTTTCAGCATTGGCGAGCCGAACACGTCGCGTGCACGTGGCAGCAGCGGTATGGCACAAAGCGTGCCGATGACGCTTTAGTACCAATAGAAGGCTGTTTGACGAGGGCTTCGAGAAACTCCCATCGACGCCTCCACCATATCTACAAAGACTCCGACCGCCGTTCTCACGCTAGAGAAGGAAGTCTCACCTTCAGTTGTCCATAAAATTCTGGAGAAGGACACGTCTTGCACCACCATTGTCAACAAGGCCTTGACCACGCTCAGGCCATGCATTCCTCCAGTATACCG